GTGTGAAGGTAAAGATGAATGGATTTTGTTGAAAGATCAAATTGCTTGTTATTAGGCTAACTACACTTGTTTCTGGTTTTATGCCTTGGTAGTTCATGGTGTTCTTTGTAATGTCAGAGGCAAGACACAGAACTACTAATTTATCTAAAAATGTTACCCACCTTTCTCACCTGTCTAATCAAAGATGCTAAATCTGATTACATTTGGTGGGCAGGGGGGAGTAAGACAGCCTTCCTAAAACAAAATATTTATTTTAAGCACTGACAGAATATTTGAAGTAAAGAGACTTGTAAAACAAGAGTCTGTATATGTTTGCTTTACATCCTGTATCGGTGTCCAGTTGGTGACTTGGGCAAATCTGACTGCTGTGCATATGTGTGGCTGCAGGTTCTCAACTCATGGTTTAGCTGCGCAGGAGAAAAAGTCTCTTCCCCTGAAATATGAAGGGAGTCTTTTAAAACTTTCACAGTTGTTTGGTTTTTTTTTCATTTTTGTTTTAGTTTTTTTTGCCAGATATTGGAATTATTTGCTAGTAACTCTTGAGGTGTTTTTCTTTTGAAACCAAGCCAATAAGTTCACACAACACAAATCCCAAAGGCCATCTCTGTATATAAGATATTAAAGATTATTAGTGACTTCCTCCAATTCTGACACACAACTCTGAAAAGAGCATTGCTTTAGGTTCTTTTCCTTGGAACATCAGCACTTATTGAGTATTTTCATTCAAACATAGATAACAGATAGTATAAGTTAAACGAATCTTGCATAATTTCAACAGTACAGGCGCCAACGGTGTGACAAGCTGCTAAAACTTACTTTGAAAGCCCAGATATGAGACTTTACAACATAAAAGCACTCTGCACATTAATGGATATCTTTGGATATGAAGTACTGGAAGTACCTTTCTGGTAAATTCTGTGTTATTTCAGAGTCCTCTGAAATAAGCCAGCGTGAGCCACTGGTGAGAGATTGGTACGAGCCTGTGTGCACTATGAATCTACAGACTACAAGGCTCAGTATTTCTCCGTATTTTTTAAAAATACCACTATGACCTTTTTCATGTCTGTGTAGTACATATTAACAAGGTGATGCTGTAGCTTTCTGTTACATATATTTTACATATACTATATGTAATATAGTGTGTATATATTATATACTTAAGCATACCTGTTAGAAATGTTTGTTTTCCTTGTACAGGTTTGCAGTCTGTGACAGCTTCTGTTGTTATGGCTGTCTATGTGGATCATCGAACGGAAGCTCCCGATTCAGTTGCCTCCGCGTCTCACATAGCATGGCACCCACTTCATCCACTGCTGGCAGTTGCTTCCATCAGCACAGCATCTGGGGGCTGTGTGGATATCTACCTGGAACAGGTGAATAATCAGCAGCTTTGCTTTTGGGCTTGATACCATTTTGCTGGTTTGAAATGTCACTTGAATTCTTGAATCCCTCTTCTCTGAATTTTAATTTCTATCCATGTTCTGTGCTAGCTACGGCATGCCAGATTCATCAGCTACTGATTACATGTATTTTATAAAAAGGTTTTCATAAATTAAGTTGATCTTTCTGTTTAAATTTAATTTTTACAGGCTTTCCATCTTGTTTGTGATGGTTACTGATTCACTTTTTACTTCTCATAGTGTGAGAATTTCAGGCTTAAAAGTAAAATGGACACATGCTGCTGCTTTTTTTTTTTTTTAATGTGAGTGAATAAAATGTACTAAGAAATGTAAATTAAAAAAAACATTCCTCCACCTTGAGACTGAGCTGATTTGCTATACTCAGCTTGTTCCATTTGAGTAGGTTGTTTCCTAGTACAGTTTCTGCTTGTAGACAGATATTTCAATTGCATACTCTAAGCTTTACATAAGAGACTTGCGTAGGACTTTGGTTTGCATAATTTTCAGGAAAAAAGTATGCTATTAGGGAAATGGTAATACAAGTTATCTAGCAGCAGACGTACTGGAAATGTACTACTAATATGAGTAGCCTGTAAAATATATACTTTCCAAAGTGCGTTACGAAAAATTGTCATCCAAATTTTACAAATGGAAAAATAAGTACATAGAGAGGTTAAATGATTTGCCTGAAATATTATTGCAAACCATGCTCAAAGGAATGTCTACCTTTAAGAGCTGTTTAAGCATTAGTTTATTCTGTGTCCTCAGTGGGGTGGTTCTCTTTCACAAGTTGAGTTTTTTATCTTGAAATGTGCTCGAAGCAGTCTTGTGCTTCATACAGGAGTAAAAGCTTGATATTCAGTGAGAGCTGCTCATGTATGCTGTGAGAGAAGAATAGCCTGGAAAAGCAGAGTGAGGCAGTCACTTCAACACTGCTGTGTTTTCATTAGCAATTTTCAAGTGGATGTAGTGCATGTTGTAGCACACTTTTATGCATGGGAAATAGCTGTAAAGACAATTTGTATAGCCACTTCATATCTCTTGCAGGAAGCTCTATTACATGCCAGTCCTTTATCACAGAAAAAATACCTTGTTGGTTGGGACGCGAATCTGAAGGTTTAGCTGCATCCTTGTGCTGAGTTTCCATTGCACAGAGCTTGCACTTGATTTCTATTTGCAGGGAGAACATGTGTCCCATGCACATGTTGAGAGAAGCTTTCAGGTCACATCACTTTCCTGGCACCCTTCCAGACCGATTCTTGCCACAGGCTGGGAGACGGGAGAAGTTGTGATACTTAACAAACAAGACAAGGAGGACCACACTGTCCCACCAAATCATAACGCCAAAATTGCAGTCCTAAACTGGAGTACAAATGGTACCCACCTTGTGTCTGGCGACAGGGTGAGTATTTGAAATGCCAAATGCGTGTTTGATGTGGACCACAGTGTTGCGATCCCTGCGATGGGAAGGGATTATGGAACAGATTGGTAGGGGAAGGGATAGTTGTGGAGGAGATGGAATTCCTCACTTTAGGTACAAATTAAAACTGTTAGGGAGTAAAATCAAATCTCTCGGTGTTTTAACTTTTTCTACAATACTTGTTGCTGTTTTATCAATTTATCTTTAAATAAAAGGGTATCTGATCTCAGTATGAGCTGAGCAGTAGATTAGGGTTTAAGGCTATTTAATGTATGGGGTAATTGAGGTGTAGACAATTTGAATTATTTGCTCCTGTCTATGCACAAATTTTGTGGCAGACTCAGGAATAAAGCCCAGATGTTGAGAAACAAATTCCAGCTACAACATATTCATCTGTAGTGAGTGCATAGCAATGCTCACTTAAGTACAAAAAGTGCACACTAATAATCTCTCTTTGTTCTGTTTTTATTAATACTCTAAAAATGAGTCAAACTTATTGTATGGAAAATATGTTGAGGAAATACTTGAAATTTGACAATTTTTATTTCTTGATGAGCTGGTTGCCCTTTTTATATAGTGAAATTAGAAACTAGCTATTGAATATTTAGTATTCAGCATGAAGTATTCATAGAAGATTATGGTTTCGCCAGTTCTTGAGTCAGCAAACAAAAAAAAAAAAGTGGGTCTTTCTATATTTTCCCTGATATAAACTTGAGCTTGTACAAGTATTTCAGTTCTGCTCTTTGAGAATTCTTACTGATATGAGTCAGAGGAAAATACAACTTTAAGTCATTGTTTGTAAAATTCTGTTGCTGCATTTGACAGAAATGCAGAAATTCAAAATTGACTAAAAAATTAATTTATGCTCTTCTTTATTAGAAAAGAGAAAATACTGCCCAGACAAAAGAAGGTGACACACAGTGTAACTGAGGCCTTATTTATATGGCGATAATACATTAGTGTAGTTTACATTAACCCTACGTTTATGAACAAACTTTTAAAAAAATTATTTATTTGGTGTCAGATCACAGTAATGACATCATCTTAAATCAGATATAGCCATTCTTGTAAGCAAATTTAACAATTTTATAGACTCATCCTAACTGCTCCTCTGATGAGAATATTAATCAAAGTGGAATAAGCAGTGGTTTCAAGGAAATGCCTTAACATGACAAAACAAAGCCTATGCATGTGTTGACGTGAATGCTCTTCAGTTACACATAGTTTCAGTTGCTGTAGTTGGAAAGACCAACCTCAATAGGCAGAACAGCAGCACACTGGAACTCAGAAAAGTTCATTGTTGCAAAATAGCTGTGTTACCCCCTGCGGACACTGAAATACCCAGCTGAGCACAGTTCAAGGTGCTCCCTGGTGTCCCTGGCCAATGAAATGTGGGTCCTTAAAAGGCTGGTTTCTATAATGAAAGCCTATTTATAAAGCAAATAGCCTTTATAACAAGAAGCTAAAACTTTGGTTTGTTAAGAATGATTGGGAAGATACAGGATGCCTTAAGAGTAAAGCTTATAGATGATAATGTCAATGTCCTTTGTCCTTTTCAAATACTATTTGAAAACAGACCTGTTCTGCATCCTTTCTATAACCAGTCACTCTTAGAAGAGGTAGTGAGCTTTTTTATTTCCAAACTCAGAACTGAGTTCGCAACTAGGTTGTCTGGATACAGGATTGGATAACTAGAACTGGATGGAAGGAAGGTCATCAGCTTTATAAAGCTGCAGACTTTTCCTCCAGCTTATAAACAGTGCAGGTTTTCTTAGTTGGGATCCCTGGAATTTGGTGACTTAAAAAAAGTGAGAGGAGGAGCCAACAGGATATGAACTTTCAGATTATAGGATCCTGTGATTTCCAGAGGTAACCAGAAAACACTGTATGAACCGCAAGTGGCCTCTTGGAAGAGGAGTACAGCAGTTTCACATTTGCACAGCTGGGTCACATTCTTTAAGACGTAAGAGACAGCATTGCACTTAATAAACAGTTTTGCGTGGTATAAATTAATCATGTTACTGCTGAAAGAAGTTAAAACTTTGATTCTCGATTCTTAGGAAAAAAAGAAAGAAATGTTACCTTAGAAGGCCTCAGCTGCATCTTGTGTGGCTTCTCATTAGGACTGTGAAGAAGAAATGTTTAGAGACCACTGCTGCTAGTCTTTCACTTCTAGAAAGACTATACTCCACTGAAAATAATAATGAAAAATAAATTTTAATACCACTTTTATTGTTATCTATCTTAATGAAAGAAATTGAACTTCATATTGCAAGTTGTTACTATTTTTTTCATGTAATGCTTACACAGAGGGCCTCCAAAAGCAATTTGGTTCCCCAAGCACTAACATAACAACAACAATAAATAATAATCTTAAAATTCCAGCTGTGACACTGTAGTGTAAATCAGTTTGTTGCAATGGTTAATGTCTATGTCATGCTGAACTGTCTTTTCGCCCCTCTGCTTTCTCCATTCCTTCCAGTCACCAGGGGTTTGATGCTTATTCTGCAAAATGTGTGTTACGTTCAGAACCTGTGCCAGCTTACATTGACTACTGTTGAATTAATTAGCTAACCAGTCTTCCTTTCTTCAGCATCCATGATTCTTCTAGTTACTAAGTTCTGTTTCTAAAAATAAACCTTTGTTATACTTGAATGTCTACTCTGAAAGAAGAGGAAAGCTCCAGAAATTCTGAAATTCTTTCCTTAGATTATCTGCATCCTGTGACTTCACATGTGTCTAATCACATACCCATGCTCATCTATATCAGTGTTACATGCACTTACTCAGGGATGTGCATCTTACACTTTACTGTCCTTAATCTCAGTATCTTTTCTTTTAGCAATGAGTTACTTGCAAGGACGAAGTGGAAAGGGAGTTACCTAAACAAATACTTGCATATGCTACCTGCAGAGGAAAACCAAGCTGTTCCACTTAATTTCTCTGGCAGTGCTGTTTTACTAAGAATGGATATGACCAAGAAGCTTTTTTAGATAACTTGATTTTAAATAAGCAATTAATATAATGTTAAAGATAATTTTTATTCCTCGTGGCTTAGTTTTAAGTGGGAGTAATTGTATGTGTCAACTAAATGAAAGGAAGGGTATTGCTCCGTCAATAAAATGTTTATTTTTATGTGCACCGGGTACCTGGAGTCTGTATTTTCATCTGTGTGCAAAGCGGAATGAATTAACTGTTTTCTTTTGCTAGCATGGTGTCTTGGTTCTATGGAGAATGGACCAGCGAGGCAGAGTGCAGGGTCCTGCCCTGCTGAAACACGAGTATGGAAAATGTCTGTCTCACTGTGTCTTTCGACCACCCCATCCTGGCGAGTAAGTATTGTGCCCCATCAGAGCATTGGTAGACCAGGTCTTTCTCTTGTTCCACAACAAGAAAATCCTACTCACAGACAAACCTTTTTTAAAAAAATATATGAAGATCCCAGTTATTCTCCTAACTGTCCTTTATTTCCATCTTCTTCTCCCACTCTAGTAGCTGGCTATTTGTGTCCTGTATGCAGCAACAGATCTTCTTCCTTTTGTCCATACATTTCTCTCTGTTGCTGTTGACTCTTATTTCTTTAGTTCTTCTAATTAGCAATGTTTCTGCTTTTCACAATCAGCAAGCACACTGAAAACACAATTATCTGTGGAATTATTGACAAGAATAATTAAATTAAAAGTCAGTTCTTAAACATTATTATTTTTTCCTCTCCAAGCAAGAAATAGGAAATAGCTCTAGTAAAAAAAAAAAAAAAAAAAAAAAAGAAGAGGAGGAAAGAAAGAAAGAATATCCTTGTCCTTGTCTGGGCCACTTCTGTTTCACATCTCTGTAAAAATAATAATGCGTATGAAAAAAAAAGTGAAACACTGCAAATGAAAACCAGTATTAAAATTTTACTTTGTATCTTTTGGAGTTTGTCCTTTTTCCAGTCAGTGTATAAAACATCTTTGTTCTCTCTTTACAATATGTTTTATTAACTAGTCATCCATTCTTTGAGATGGAAAGTACTCTGTTATGGAAGGAATTGGTAATTAAGTATGTCTTTTGCAGGGACTTCATACAGCTGGCAAAAGCAGCTGTGGGTGGTGATGAGAAGGCCTTGGATATGTTTAACTGGAGAAAAACTGGAACGGGAACATCTCTGAAAATGGGACTCCAGGAAGGACAGTCCTTCTTTATCACTTTGACAGATGGTAAGAGCAAAACCACATTTCCAGTATGCTGGAAATTTGTCTCCTTAATGCTTCAGAATAGATCAGTGCACAATAGTCCTGTTTTCATGTCAAACATCTGGAGTATAACCACATGTCCATCATATTCATATATCCAACATGATAGAGTATTCAAAGGAGTTGAAGAATATTTGGTAAGAACAAATGAATACAGTTATTAAAATCTTAGCATCTTCAGGGTGACTTGTCTCCAAAAGGACGCCATACGTATTGGCTTAGTCAGGTTCCTGAAGAAGTGAGTGTAAGGAAAGTGATCTCTAACACCTAAGTGTAAATAGAATTAGAAGTTGTTGGTATTTTGTGTAAAGCTTCAAAATAATGCACATGTTGTGTGTTTTTTTCCAGAAATAGGCAAATGCTTCTAGAACGTACTTTTTAAACTAAATTATTAATTTATTTTTTCTCTCATGCTTTGAAATGAGGCTTCAGTCAAAGGAAGCAAAAAAGTCTGAATATTTGTTTTTTTAGTTTTCTTCCTAATATTGTTTCTTCCCTGCCATTTGTCTTTTCCTCTGCCTTTTATTGTTCTGGGTACTAGTTTTCTCCCAGCTTGTTTTCTTCTGACCCCAGTCGTTCTCGTGATGCATTCTATCCCTCTAACCTGTTAACTCGTTGGACCAGAGCCAGAACGTATGTGATGAGTATTGTAATGAGTATGTTTCTGGTAGGTGATTTGAGTATGTAATCCTAACTCGATTCAAGCGTTAACTACTCCGAAAAACATTTAAGTTATGCTAGTTCTGCAGCTCCGTTACAGTTTGATGCAGCGTTTACATTGTCAAGACTGAGACCCATCATTCACACCGGTATAGCTGCCATATGCATGCCGCCCAGCTGCACGCTCCTCCTGCAGAACAGTGGTCTGTACCTTCATTTGATTTGTGAGTTACAAAGCCTCTTTACTAGGTATGAACCATTTAAATGAAAAGCGGGTACAGGGCACTTCTTAGATGTATGAGGAGAGAACCTTTGAGTAGCTGTGGCTGTTGGAGCCTCGCTTGCACAGCAGCTGTTGCGGTGGTACACAGCCCCATCTAGGGACAGGCTCTATCCTGCGAGCGACTCTCCTTCACATCTTGGTTTTGGGCCGCCTGTTCAAACTTTTTCAGATTTCAGTGAAATGACACTCAGTGTTTCTTTTGAGCAGTCTTATTGCTTAAGTTGACCTGCGCATGTGTATTTTGGACCCAGTTCTTAATCTAGCTAGTTATCTGTCATAACTTCAGAATCAGTTAATGTTTTCGTAGGGCTTAAATGTGACCTGTGAATTTGCTCTGAAGTATGGATTCTCAGCCCAAACTTGTTTAATTAAAATGGATTAAAAACCATTCTTATCGCATACTTTTAAATATCTCAAAAGAGATTTGACTAAAGACAGTAGAGCATCTTTTAAAGCAAAAGTAAATAAACAATTAAGCTCCTCCACAAAGCCCAAAATAAAATGGAAGAACCTCCCAAATTTCAAGGATTTTTTAGTCTAGATATTTTTTGATGCTTCCAAAGCACTGATCATTGCAGTAAAACAATAGATGCAATTCAGGTAATATGTTACATGAGGTGCTCTTCTAAAGAGAGGATAACTGAACTGATAACAATTTTCAGAGGCTGTTTTGCAACACTTTCCATGAGCACAAAGACTCATCTTATTAGTGAGTGTTTGAGATGACTGGCACAGGTGCTGGGACGTGACCTGAATAGTGGAAGTCGTCCTGGTATTTTTACTGCATCCACGTTTGTTTGTCTTCACTACAGACATTTTAGGTCATCAGTAATAATCCTTTTCTGGTCCACTTCATATTTCCTAAACCACATACACTTACTGCTGCTTTTTCTTTTTTGAATCTCAGAGTTATTTGCTCTACTGAATTAGCTCAGATTTGTTAACTTTTGAGATTAGTCCCTTGTGTGATACAGTGTGAAAACTTTCTTAAAGTTAGTCAGAAAGCTATAACCCTCTCCCAAACCGCTTAAGTAGCTTCAAAATAGTGGGTAATGTCATCTGTGCGATACCTGATACTTTGTACGGTAATGTCCAAGTATAGAAGGTTAATTTAATTTATGAAACAATTTCAGATGGCAAATAAAATCAAGGGACTGTACATTTCTTGTAAAAGATCCCATAAAACTGAGATTCGGTAGATGATAGACTACTGCGAAGTATTACTACAATAAACAGATATCTGTATGATGGAAAATGCTCCATTGGAGAACTATCCCAACAATCCCTGGTATCAGTACAGACTGGGTGATGAATGGAGAGCAGCCCTGTGGAGAAGAAATTGAGTGTACTGGTGAGTGAAAAGCTGGACATGAGCCGGCAACATGCGCTCGCAGCCCAGAAAGCCAATTGTATCCTGGGCTGCACCCAAAGCAGCGTGGCCAGCAGGGCGAGGGAGGGGATTCGAGCCCTCAGCACAGGAAAGACATGGACCTGTTGGAGCGGGGACAGAGGAGGCCATAAAAATGATCCAAGGGCTGGAAGAACCTCTCCCATGAAGAAAGATTTGAGAGAGCTGGGGGGGTTCAGTCTGGAGAAGAGAAGGCTCCGGGGACACCTTATTGCAGCCTGCCAGGACTTAAAGGGGTCTTAGGAGAAAACATTTTAGCATGGATCCTTAATGTTCATTCCTACACGCTTGTGTTTTCTGCTTCAGCTTTTGGGGGAAAATATTACTTCATTTCACAGAGTTTTTTGATTTGCACTGGTTTGAAGTGCCACGTTTATATGATTTGCTAAGGAATTACGTATGTGTGTGGCATGAGATCTGTCAGATTTCGATGACTTCATTTGTTTGTGTGATATCTGTAACACCATTTGCAAAATGCTATGGAGCATTCTGGGGTTTTTCACTGGGTAGACCTGTGCATGATTGATACAGTTAACCAAATGATAATGGCTTTTAAAACGTTGATATGTGCTGTAGTTGCCAAGTTGCGCACTATGTTGTCAGTGTTCTTAGAAAGACACTATCCATTTGCTTGTGAAACTAATGTAGAAAAGCTGTGTTTAGTGCATGTGGTAGGGTGTTTCTAAACAATGAAGAACTTCATATCCACAGTTTTCTGTAATCTAGATGCTGCTGTAAATTGTACCAATTCTTATCTGTCATTCTTCTTTCACAAATTATTATTAATACTGAAGACTTCAGAAGCCATCATTCATGCACACATATGCAGAAAGTTTACTTTTAGTTTAAAGTTATTTAAATGATGGCACTTAAATTATTCCCCTCTGGTTTTCCTAGATGGGGAAAAAGTGAATAAGTTTTGTTTTATTGCTCTGGTCAACTTTCATAGTCTGTATCCTGAGACAAATTAGAAGACAAAAGAATTGTGATTATTTTTACCTTTTCAGCACTTGAGGAATATTTTATTACGCTAGAAAGCAGCAACTTTGATTTTTGTAGCTAAAAATTGTTGAATAAAAAATATACCTTGTTTATGTGTACTACAGGTTCTGTGCATTATGTGAATGAGAAAGGAAAGACAAGGCATGTATTGTCCACAGATAGCCTGGTCCGAAAGCTTCTGTTCATGGAGGAAAGAGATGTTTTAATTGTAATAACAGAGAACCTGCAATTGTCCTTGCATGCAGTTACTCTCGAGGGAGAGGCAGAAGAGCTCATGAAGGTAAGGGGCAGACTACAGAGTACAGTTGCAATGTTTAATCTTTATAAGAATTTGTTACAGTTTTTTGATTGTAACTTTTTTTGCTTACAAATGAATGAATTCTCATTTTTGTTTCTCAGGTCATACCTTAATGAGCAAATATATGCTCATCTAGAAGTGGAGTAGAGTGATGTGTTATTGAACTTGGAAAGATGATTTTCATCTTGCCTTCCTGGGTTTTTTTGGGGTTTTTTTAGTTTCTTTCATTTTGACCTTATGTTAATCCCTTTATGCTTAATTTACCTTGTCTTGGAGAAGAATTGAAAATTCCAGTATAATCAAATATTTCTTAAAATGTCTTGTGGATAAATAGTTGCTAATCTGCATCCTCGGTTTTATTATCATCAGTTGCTCAGAGGGGTCTTGTCTTTCAGATTAGTAGGAGCCGCACCTCCTCTTGGTGGTATTGTCTTTGTCTGCAAATCTGAAAGACAGTTTAGCTCTCCCATTGTGAAAGTGTTCTTCAGAGCTGCAGAGGCTAGGAAGCTTTTAAAAAATAACAACCCACAAGTCACAGAATCACAAATAATAAAGTGGTGACCCAAAAATTATTGTGTAGGGACAAAAACCAAACTGACCTCATCCAGGACTTATAATCATCTTGGCTCAAATAAAATACGGTACTGCTGGGCAATCCTGCTTGGGGGGATGGAACCCAAACCTCCACCTTCCTAAGATTTTTTTTTTTTCTTTTTCTCTAAGATTGAAAAAGACTGAGCATTTGTGTATTACAGGAGTGTCCACTTCTTATTAATCATTATTTCTTTTTGACTAAGAGGAAGATTTGGTATTTCACATTTTAAAGAAATCTTTATCAGGTTCTAAGAGAAGATCTAATACAAGAGAAAAAACTGCTCCTTACCTACTTAATTAACCCACTACAAGGTTTCTTTTATTTATACGTCATATACTTGATGCATTTAGTGGTGATCACTGCCCGACAGAAACTGTTGGTCTATCTGAACTGACAGACAGGTCTAGTTTTTCTTATATTTTAACGTTTTACCCAAACTAGGCAATTCAGATACTTACTGTCTTTCAGTGTGTTCCTCCTACCTTATGTAAATTTATTTATTAACTTATGGTTAACAGGTGAAGTTGAGTGGGAAGATAGGTCATTCTGCAGACATCATTTTAATAGACCATAGCCTTGTTGTTACAGCACTAGGTGAGACGGTCATCAGGTAAGAATCCTGTTTTAAACCTGTTCTGGCTGCCCATGAGAAGTGCCAGCTAAAAGGTTAATGGTCTGTAATGCACTGAATAGTTTACTGAGCTGTTGGGTTTTTTTTAAACAATAATGAAAAAACTTACAATATTTTCTAATTTTGTTTCTCAAAATAAATACAGACATGAAAAATCTGTTTCCTTAAGGACAAAAACTAATTCTATGTATCTTTCTTTCTAGTTATTTTGTCAGGCAGTACTACCCAAACATGTTAGTTTCTGAGTGCTGTTATTGGTTTCTTCTGAGAATATATCCATGTGGGTTTTTTGCGTGAAAAAGACAATCACTTTACTGTTCTTTCCATTGTTATTGTCTGATTCTTAGGATAGTTGTCGCATCAGCAACAGTAAAAAAAGTGAATTTTTTTTTTTTTTTTTTTTTTTAAAAGCTTTTCAGGATGTTTCTCTGTTACTGTAATATAATACAAGTATTTTGGTTACTGCTATCCCTAATTCTTTAAACCAAGTATGTTACTTTGCCATGCTGCTAAGGTACCATGTTCTATAGTTTTTAGCTTTTCACATCCTTTTAAAGAAGGTATTACATCTTCTTTTTCCTGTCTTTAATATGCCTTGCTCTACCTGTTTCCTCTTAACTTTTTGGGGGTCGGGGTGTTCCATTAACGTGAGTAGTTCACTTTCTCGAGCCTCTCTCTGCTACTATCAGACAAAATCATCTGTTAGTTTTGTGCGAATGTGGTAAAGACCAAGTATCAAGTAGGAATATATTTGATGACAATGTTTAGTTCTAGAAAATACATCTGGAATCCAAAGAACTACTGGTTACCCAAGGAACATTCTTAAAACAGAGGAGGAAGTATAAGTAGGGAGGAGGAAAACTACAACTAGACCTCACTTTTTTTCTTAAAGCTGGGTTTGCTTCTGACTCCTTTCTTCATAGGAGAATATCACAAAACATGCTGCAGATAAAAAAGTCAAAGGAAAAGGAAGGAGATTGTTAAGGAATTCACATTCCAGAGGCAGCTGCTGGCAATTTAGTTTTAAAAAATGAATGATCTGGGCATTGTGGAAATAGCAAATTATTGCCATGTATAGCATCTTATTGACTGTGTTTAGCAAGACACCTGGAAGGAAAAGCATTGTTAACACTCTTGTTTTGTGTACCTTAGGTTCTGGGATTTGGACCGAGATGAGAACTATGTGCTCTCCCCAGATGTGCAATTTGGCTTTGAGGGAGGAGAATGTATTAACTGTGTTTCTTACTGCAGTGCTAAAGGTGAGAAATAGCATGGCAGCTGTGATCTCTGGATCCTAAACCTTCTCAAACCTCATGAACCCCGTGGTCATGTCAGTATGTTTGTCTTGTTACTGAGGGTTTCAGTAACAGCATCTGACGTAGAAATGTTTTAGTTCAGATCACGAGTGTGCTTTTGAAGGTACAATGAGATCATTCAATACTCACCACACTTTGTCTCAATGTGGAGTTGTCTCTGGGCACACAAGCTAGATTCCGTTTGATGACACTAGACTGGTACAGATACTCCTGGAGTACACCTAATGCACTCCAACATGTTATGGGCACAGAGTCCACAAGCCCACACTAAAGCTAATGCAAAATAGAACTCACCAAACGTATATAGAGTGGACGTCAGGTCCTTAAAACTGATGTTTCCTACAGAGCTACTCCTATGCATCACCTCGTTTGCCATCATAGGTGTAGCTAGTGTCTGCTAGAATGGTTTTCAGTGATGACTTGCCCATGGTGACTACAAAACCAGCTATTCAAAAATAAACGGTTAAAATGAAATCAGTCTGATACATTTAAAAGAGAACTTAATCTGGTATCTTATAAAACGGGCCTTGCCACATGAAACTTCTCCCATTGTTTCTCCAGAAGGTTTCTCCAGTTCAGGATTAGGATGCTGGTTTGCAGGAAGGCAAAGAAATGGATGCTTCTAGAAAAAGCCTTCTCAGTACCTCAGAATCAGAGCTAGGCTGCCTGCTACTTTGTATAATGTGCGTTTGTTTTTCTGAAATTTAAGATATGAAATGGCTAAAAGCTTTGTGAATGGCAGGTCTCTTAGCGGCTGGTACTAACAAAGGGAGAATAGCTATGTGGAGGAAAGCAGCAGGATCTGATCAGAGCATACAGGCTTTGGAGGGCAAGGAGAAGTGGAAGCTCCAGACACCTACAGAACTTGAAGGAAATGTCACTCAGATAAAGGTAAGACAGGAAAGAGTCTTCTTGCATGTTAGGACTTCACAAACATTAGATGAATAAATCATCTTTGCGAAACAGATGAATGTGATTGCTATCATATAGATATGTGCACCAGCAGAGGCTCGTCCTCCTTCAGAAGAAGGAGGAAAAACCATCAGGATCAAGTAACTTTTAAAATTGAAATGGGCAGAAATATTACCTATTTGTAGCTATTCTGTTACAGGCAAGGTTGAAATACTCAGCAAGATAACACACTGAAATGCAAATACATCTCTTTAGGAGAATTAGCAGTCATGGCACCTTTAAATGCAAACATCTGTCTGTTATATGTCTCATTGATAAACCCTTTGGATTCAGCACCCTGAGATTATTTTCTGGAAAAGATAGGTTGTCAGAAATGTCAAATTTACATAAATTTATTAAAATAGGAAGCAAGAAAATCTGACTAAATGCATGATGTAATTTGTAGATAATTTTCTTCTTATCAGTCACTTTCTCAATGTAAAGCTTGCTCTTACAGGTAGTTGCAAAAATAAAAAGATGTATTTACAACCAAATATTATTTGGTGAGAAGATGTGCCATCGCTGGGTAAAGAACTGGCTGGACAGCTTGAGCTCAGAGAGTTGCGGTGAATGGAGTTAAATCCGTCTGGCGGCCAGTCACAAGCG